TCCTTTTTCCCAAATGAAAGCCTTCCATGGAGTCTCCTCAGGTCTCAAAACTCAGCTTTGCCATTTACGCTGGGTGTTATTTTGAGCACAATCAAATCATCTTCCTTCCCCCAGCATGCCGGAACCATTCAGCAGATGTCAATCACCCACTCTGCATGATACATCAGGACATAAAGCATTCATGCCACTCCTTCCTCCTGACAACACTGAGCAGAAGGCTGGACAAGGAATGTTATTATCCCCATTTTACATACAGGAGTGTTGAAGCATCAGACCTATAAAGTGACCTTCCTCAGCTTACACTGCTTTTCAGACAAGTTGTTTTATTTGTTTGTTGTTTGTTTGTTTATTGTCAGCTGTGAGGCTTGAATTCAAGGCATTATCAGGCATTATCCCTGAGCTCTTGTTCAAGGCTAGTACTCTACTACTATGAGTACCACTTCTGGTTTTCTGGAGGTTAATTGGGGATGACTCTCATGGCAGGCTGGTTTTGAACTGTGATCCTCAGATCTCAGTCACCTGGGTAGCCAGCAGTGACCATCTCAGATGTTTTAAATAGTTAAGCTTCTCCAGGCAACAGGGTAATAATAGGAAAGTTAGCAGATGAGAAGCTGATTTACCACCTTAGGCTGTCTTTCTGTGGGAGAGCAGCATATCTTGTCAGGATAGAAGCTCTGGCTTTGGGGACTGGAGAGTATTGGCCTGATCCCTGGCCTTGAGGGCCCTGGTCTGAGAGAGGAGATCAGGGAGATAACCAAGAGCTCATAGTAGAAAAGAAATACAGGTCAGCGATGTTTACCCAACCTAGGAGGGGTATGTTTTCCAGAGCATAGACCAACAGGCAGAGAGATTCAGAGATAAACCCAGCAGAAGCACCAAGTCCCTGACCAGTCACTACCTGCAGAAGGGGCAGAGTCTGGCTAACCCGAAGCCATTGTAACATGGCTTCGGGTTACATCCTTGGCCCTTCCCCACACCCCTCGGTACCTCAGTCCTAAGTTCCCTCAGTAAGGTTGTACAACAGAGGAGGGTCACCCACCTTGACCAGCCACCTCTCTGGCTTGCAGCTTCTGGGACTACAGCATGTGTCTGTGAAATAGTCCTTGAAATAAGGAGGCTCACCTGTCCATTCCCAGTCCTTCAGGGAAGCACTAGTGTAGAGCTGTCCAATAAAACCATCTGTGATGTTGGGATTGTATTATTCTGTGCTGTCTGGTAGCCATTATTCACATATGACTGCTGGGCATGGGGCCATTGATACTGAGGGGCTGATTTTTTTTCATTTTAATGAAGCTGAGTAGAAGTGTTAAATGTAACTTTATGTTAGCATGAAGCTAATGGCTAGTGTATTTGGGTAGCATAACTCTACAAACAAAAAAGGGCCATACCCACAACCATGCCAGGCATCAATCATCTGTCACAATCATCTTTTCATGGTATTATGAGGAACAGAGAGAGAAAATTAAGACTCAGAAAAGTCAAACAGCTTCTTCAGCGATAGAGCTGGTTATAGATGTAAGAGTTAATCCCAGATCTCTTGAGTCTAAAACTCACCCCTACCGGGCACAGGTGGCTCATGCCTGTAATCCTAGATACTCAGGAGGCTGAGATCTGAGGATCACGGTTCAAAGCCAGCCCAGGCTGGAAAGTTCCTGAGACTCTTATCTCCAATAAATCACAAGAAAAAAATGGAAGTGGAGCTGTGGCTCAAGCGGTAGAGCACTCGCCTTGAGCTGAAGAGCTGAGGGACAACGCCCAAGCCCAGAGTTCAAGCCCCACAACCGACAAAAAAAATAAAAAATAAAAATAAAAATAGGGCTGGGAAGGTGGCTCAGTGGTAGAGCGCTTGCCTTGCATGCATGAGGCCCTGGATTCGATTCCTCAGCACCACATAAGCAAAAAGCAAAAAGCCGGAAGTGGCGCTGTGGCTCAAGTGGTAGAGCACTGAAGAGCTGAGGGACAATGCCCAGGCCCAGAGTTCAGGCCCCACTACCGGACCCAAAAATAAATAAATAAATAAAATAAAACTCATCCCCGTAGCTTTATGTAACATTGCCCACTTACATAATTGTCACATACTTATTGGGTCATTCATTGTTATTAAAGACAAATCAGATCTAGACTCTGACTTCAGGTAAGAATACCCAGACAATGGCAATGGCATTACTACAATAAGAATATGAGTATTGAAAAATATTTGAAGTGACTTTCTTCCAGGTAACTCAATATATTTTGCTTTAAATATCATTTATATCTGAAAACTCCACAGTTTATATCTCAGGCCCCTGTCTCCATCCAGAAGTCCTAACAGGCAAACCAAGCAACCTATTGGATATCACCATGTAAATATCAAATTGGCTTCTCAAACTTGCTACAAACTTTCTTCCATTCAGTAAATGGCAATGTTCTTCTGCTTGTTCCACCCCAAGTCTCTGGGTCATCCATAGCTCCTCTTAGTTCTTGTGCCTTTTAGCTAATCCACCTACAACTATTATTAGTTCTGTCTTCAAGAAACATCCAGAAAAGTGAATAATATCAATATCAAAATACATTGTGCCTATGTACGGAAATAGTATAAAAAGTCTCAGTGAGAGCTGCTAAACAATAAAGGGAGCATAGAGAAAGAGAGAGCAATAGAGGGGAGTTTTCTAATTGAAATGTAATACATGCCAGTATAAAATACCATAGTGTAACCCTTTAGCACAATTAATAAACAATACAAAAAAAGAATGACAAGAGAATAAAATAGGCTCTGTTGTGGGGTGGCAGGAGTGGAGAGGGTAGAGATGGTGAATGAGGGTGAGTAGGCTCTTAGTAATTTGTTTGCATGAACAGAACTAGAACAATGAAACCTGTTGAAATTGTTTTAAGCAGGCTAGAGGATGTGGGAAAATGACAGAGGGATGGAGGTTGATGGAGTCCATTGTATGCATGTATGGAAAGTCACAGTGAAACACTGCTTGAACAATTAGTATGCTAATTAAAGATCTTGAAGAACAAGAACAAGAATCCAGAATATTTGCCCTCCCCACTGCTGCCACCCTGGCCTATCATCATCATCATCATCATCATCATCACCTCTAGCTGGCCTGGAACAGACAAGCCTGGGTGTTCTTCACTCTTTCTCATTTTTTTTCCCACATAGTAGCCAAGTGATGATGTTTTTAAAAACTAAGAATTCAGGGCTGGGAAAGTGCCTCAGTGGTAGACTGCTTGCCTCTCACCTGCATGAGGCCCTGGGTTCAATTCCTCAGCACTACATAAGCAGAAAGAAAGAAAAAACTAGGGGCTGGGAAGGTGGCTCCATGGTAGAGTGCTTGCCTTGCATGCATGAGGCCCTGGGTTCGATTCCTCAGCACCACATAAGCAAAAAGAAAAAGCCGGAAGTGGCACTGTGGCTCAAGTGGTAGAGTGCTAGCCTTGAACTGAAGAGCTGAGGGACAGTATCCAGGCCCAGAGTTCAGGTCCCACAACCAGACCCTCCCCCCCAAAAAAAAGAAAAAGAAAGAAAAAACTAAATTCAGAGTATGCTTCTCTTCACTTAAAGCCCCCAATGATTTTCCAGCTTTACTGAAGACCCTACAATGTCTGGCCCCAGATGACTCTGTCCTCATTTCCTACCATTCTTTGCTTTTCAAGTCCAGCCTCAGGTCTTGTTGGTCAGGCCTTCCTGAAGCCATAGCTCTGCTCACTCCCTCATGCCCTCAGGACCACTGACCCAAGGTTCCCCAATCACAGAGGCACTCCCCTTACATTATCCTCTTTCCATTTTCCTCATCACCACATCACCTTCCCACATTTAATATGTTTGTGGGTTGGTGCTCTCCCACTAGAGTGTAAGCTGCAAGAACAGGCAGGCAGATAAAACAATAAACAACCTCTCAGACGTTTGCAAGGGGCCCACTTGAACTAAAATAAATAAGTCACAATTTATCTGAATTCAAACTTGGCTGTCCTCTTATATTTTTATTTACTAAATAGGAAGGCAAGACAGTGATTGTTTATTGCTTTATTCTTCTAAAATGCCGCCCTCAATAGCATGTATTGAGTGAATGAATGAATGAGTGAATGAATGCAACCTTGTCATTAATTTAAAACGTGCCTAAACTTTTTTTTTTTGGGGGGGGGGGTGTCAGTCGTGGGTCTTGAACTCTGGGCCTGGGTTCTGCCTCTCAGCTCTACCACTTGAGCCACAGTGCCACTTCCAGTTTTCTGGTGGTTTATTGGAGATGAGTCTCACCATCTTTCCTGCGGGCTGGCTTTGAACTACGATCCTCAGATTTTCAGCCTCCTAAGTGTGAGTATTATGCTCACCTTTGGTCCTCAGCTTCACCCAGATCTGGGACCCATCCCATTCCTGGAGAACCCTCCAGACAGCTGGCCCCTCCCTCTCTCCTCAATTTCTACCCCTCAGACCCTCCGGCTACATGGGTGGGGACGGAGGTCATGTGCCCCCTCTTGGGGGAAATATGGCTCCTCTAGTAAACCTTACAGTAATCTTTCTCCTGTGCCTGCCTGCCTTTGCGTGGTCCCCCGGGATGGACTCGTCCGATCCTCTTTCACTGAGTAGCTAGGATTACAGGCTTGAGCCACCGGCGCCCAGCTGAGCTAACACTTTTAACAAACAGCTTGCAAAACTAAGAGAGGTGGAGCCTGTAGGCTAGTTGTGCAGTTCACAGCAGCAGTTCCAGACAGCAGGTGAGCTTTCCGAGCAGGTCGAGCAGCGCGGTGATTTGCCAGCCCAGTTCCCAAGCTCCGCGACTAAAATTTCCCTCCCCGCCCCGCCTCGCCTGGCCTCGCCCACTTCAATTAGCTGCCAATCAGGTGGCGCTCTTGGGGGCGGGGCCTCCCACACACAGAGGCTGACCCTGGCCCTCACTGGAGCCGGGGCCCCTTTAATGCCCCGCCCCCGGCTCCCCTCGCGCTCTTCGCCATGACGTTGCCAACGGCCGACCAATGAGGGCGCGGCTTACTGCCAGGCGGTGCCGGTGGCCGCTGCCAAAGGGGAAGTGAGCTGCCGCCGGAGCGATGGCCCGGGTCTGGAGCCCGCGGCCGCCTCCGCCGCCTTCGCCACCAGTGTGTCGAGAGCAGCCGCGGCCGGAGCTGGGGCCGGAGTCGCGGCTGGAGAGGGGGCGGCGCGTGTGAGTTGCCGAACATCTCAAACTCCGCTGGGGCGCTTCAGGCGGGCAGAGCAGCGGCCGCCCCTTCGGCACCGCACCCCCCCCCCCCCCCCGCCGGCCCGGACAGCAGGGCTGGCGTTTCCCCGGCCACGGGACCGGCTCCGAACCAGACTCCCATCAGACTCAGGACAGAAGCCACAGAACGGTATCATCCCAAGCTCCAGCCGGCTCCCTGACCTCGACCTTCTCTTGGCGTCTAGGCGGTGTCAGGGTTGTGGCGGCTGAGCCTCCTCCGGCCGCCACCTCCAGCCGAGGACCAGCGAGCTCCCACTGTGCTCTGCGTCTCCTCCTCTCCTCCCATTCAAGAACAAGTTTCTTTTCGCTTTCCATTGCAAATCCCTTCCCGGAGGTCCAAAGTACGCGTTCCGTATGCCCTTCCTTCCCCAGCCCCTGCACATACTTTTGGCCGCTTATCTGGAGTAATTGACATAACTTTTTATTAGTCTTTGGAAGATAAAAATTGCCCCATTTCACTCTAAACTGACACTCCATGCCCAGGGTTTTGTCCATTTGGATCACGGGCTCCTTGACCACCTCTATGTAACTTCCCCTACCCTTCTGAGTTCCAATTTCCTTTGGGCTTCTGTTCTCCAACTCCCAGCGGATCTGGTCAGTCCCACCTCTGGGTGGGAGTGATCAGAGGCCTCTGGCCCAAGATTTCCCACCCTGGAAGGTAGCGCCAAAGTAGCAAGAGAATTGGGCGTCGGGTACGAACCTGGCAGCTCAGGAGTGGGTGCTCCACTCACCCCACACAAGAAGATGAAAAAGCGCAAAGAGCTCAATGCACTGATCGGCTTGGCTGCAGACAGCCGGAGAAAGAAACCCAAGAAAGGCCCAAGCAGCCACCGTTTGCTTCGCACTGAGCCTCCTGATTCAGACTCAGAGTCCAGCTCAGAAGAGGAAGAGGAATTCGGTATAGTTGGAAATCGTTCTCGCTTTATCAAGTAAGTGATGCAGTAGTGGAGATAGGATAGATAGGATGGGTCAAACACATCTTACACTGCCTCAGGGGAAGGTAAAGAGGAGGGAAATCCTTAGGAAGAAAAAAGGATGTAAATTTTGGAAGACAAAAACAAACAGATTTTAAGAGGTCAATCTTTAGGTATAGAAAGAAGAACTCAATCTAGAGTGGAAGCAAGGACTTGGGAAATGTGCTGAGAGCCCAAAGAGTAATAAATCTTAAGAATGGAGACCTTGGGACTAAACGTGTGTGTGTGTGTGTGTGTGTGTGTGTGTGTGTGTGTGTGTGTGTGCCTGCCTATATATGTCCATATAGATAAATTGAGCTTAATATATGTATACTATATGTAGTATACATATAGTATATATGTAGTATATATATATATATTATACATATATATAGTATGAGCTTGGAAATAACTAGACAGTAAGGAGCAAAACAGGCAACTTTTCCCCAAACTTTTCAGTTGGAATAATCACTAAACAAATCAAGTAGTGACTTTTAGGGACTAGGGATAAGTTCTCATATTGAGAAAGGGCCAAAGGAAACCTCAGATGCTCTTGGACCCTGTAAGAGAGCACACTAAAAGAAGAAAGGATTCTGCTGAGGATGTGGAAGCTAGGGTGCAGCAAAACATTGGGATGCTAAAAGAGCCTTGTATCCTTTGTATATTTGTTTGTTTAAAATGTCTGTGTCCTTTTATTTTGTTAAAGAAGAGTTTGATTTCTGTTGAGTTTTGTCATTAGGTAGTTAACAGGAATTTTGTATTTGAGATATGAAGATCAGATGAAGTTTCAATTCTGAAATAGTTAATCCTCCTAAAGTAGTTTAGACCTTGAAGTCTGGGTGGAGTTTAATGTGAAATCTAGCTTGCTTCTCTTTCCTTCCTTCTGAACCAGTAAGTTAGAGTGCACTGAAATCCTTCAAATCTACACATCCTATTTCTTTTATTCCATTTACAATAAAATGTGCTCAAAAGTTTATAAAGTTTCAATAAACTGAACCATGGTCTTTTGGAGGGAACATATATTTGATAGAGACAAGTAGATAGGTAGAAAATACCAGGCTGTTAGAGAATTACACAGAACTACTTGTTTTTGTACTTTTTTGGGGGGGGGGAGGGAGGGTCCGGTCGTGGGGCCTGAACTCTAGGTCTGGGCGCTGTCCCTCAGCTCTTCAGCTCAAGGCTAGCGCTCTACCACTTGAGCCACAGTGCCACTTCTGGCTTTTTTTTTTTCTGCTTATTTGGTGCTGAGGAATCGAACCCAGGGCCTCATGCATGCAAGGCAAGCGCTCTACCACTGAGCCACCTTCCCAGCCCCCATTTTTTTTCTTTTACTTTATTTTGAGACAGCGTCTGGCTAGGTTGCCTTTGCCTCCTGAGTAGCTGGGATTATAAGAATGCAGTATTACATCTGGCTTGGTTTTCATACTTTTCCTAACTGAGCTTCTCTCCAAAGACCACCTTATGAAATGACGATGATGGCAGTGATCTACAGAGCTTACAGGAGCTTGTCATCACGCATAGGAACTTCCTGGTTTTTGTACAATTTGAAACCCTTGTAACTAATAGAAGAACTTTTTGTGGGTAACTTTTATTTAGTAATTTTCATCCTGCTGCTATTTAAATGTAAGTTTTATCTCCCCTGGTAAATTCACTGGCTAGTCATTAGAGAAGATAATTTCAGGGCAGCACACATGTACTGTTTCTAATAAAGCTATCTTGGTAATCACTTTCCCACTCATGGTTGAGTTTGTTCTTCTGACAGAGGAGACTACTTACGCTGCTGCAAGATCTGTTATCCCCTCTGTGCTTTTGTCATCCTCGCGGCCTGTGTGGTGGCCTGTGTTGGCTTGGTATGGATGCAAATTGCTCTCAAGGAGGATCTGGATGCCCTCAAGGAAAAGTTTAGAACAAGTAAGTGGTCACCCCTTTCAGGGCATAATCTTGGACCTTTTTCCAGGTTTTAGGACAAATTGGCCTATGCAGAATTAGGAGTTTGCCCACTGGGTGAAACAATTGTACATTCCATTCAGCTTTTTTATACTCTGTCTCAGGTGATAGCTTGAATGGTGTTAACACTTATTTTAAAACCTCTCTGGTTTCCCTCATGTATAATAATTAGCCTAAGCCTAGGTTAGTCCTGAAAGAGATAAGAACATATGATCATACAAAATGATGCTAATTGAAATGAACTCCAAGACATGGAAACAACAGGTCTTTTTTTTTTCTTTTTTTTGCCAGTCCTGGAGCTTGAACTCAAGGCCTGGGCACTGTCCTTGAGCCTCTCTGTGCTCAAGGCTATGGCTCTACCACTTGAGCCACAGCACCACTTCCAGCTTTTTCTTTTTTGTGGTACTAAGGAATCGAACTGAGGGCTTCATGCATGCTAGGCAAGCACTCTACCACTAAGCCACATTCTCAGCCCTAGTTCTTTCATCTTTTTTTTTGTTGTTGTTGGTTGTGGGGTCTGAACTCTGGGCCTCGGCACTGACCCTCATCTCTTCAGCTCAAGGCTAGCACCCTACCACTTGAGCCACAATGCCACTTCTGGCTTTTCTTACTTATGTGGTACTGAGGAATCGAACCCAGGGCCTCAGGCATGCAAGGGAAGCACTCTACCATTGAACCACCTTCCCAGCCCATCTTTTTGTCTTATTTTATTTCATTTTTCTTTTTCCATTTGTTTATCCCTGGCAATCTCTGTCTTCAATTCTGATACCCTCCATCTTGTATATGCATTTATCTGATTGGAAGAAGGGAAGGGAAATAATAAAATACTGAAAGAGTACAAAAAATGACCCATTACAACAATGACACTCACAGGACACTGTGTCGGAAATGAACTTTACAACTTCATGTGGAGGAGTTGGGAGAAGGAAAGGATAATGAGAGAACAACAATGAAGTGGGTAACAATGTTCAACAAAAAATGTACCCCCTCTGTACAGCATCTTTACGATACAACAAAATTTAAATAAATAAAACCTATAAGCCGGGCGCTGGTGGCTCACGCTTGTAATCCTAGCTACTCAGGAGGCTGAGATCTGAGGATCATGGTTCAAAGCCAGCCCGAGCAGGAAAAGTCTGTGACACTCTTATCTCCAATAAATTACTAGAAAACCGGAAGTGGCACTGTGGCTCAAGCAGTAGAGCACTCACCTTGAGGAAGAGCTGAGGGACAGCGCCTAGGCCCAGAGTTCAGGCCCCACGACCAGAAAAAAAAAAAGAGAGAAAGGTTAAGGCTGGTATGGGAGCTCATACATTAAATTCTAGCTACTTGGGAAGTAGAGATTGGGAGGATCAAGGTTCAAGGCCCGCTCAGGCAAAAAGTACAAGACATCTTAACCAAAAAGAGTTGAGTTTGATGGCATGCACCTGTCATTTCAGCGATATGGGAAACATAAGTCAGAGGGTTATAGTCCAGGCTATCCTTGTCATAAACACAGACCCCCATCTCAAAAATAAAGTACAAAGTAAAGTGCCTGCCTAACAAGCACAGGCACTAAGTTCGATCCCAAATTCTGCAACAACAAAAACAGAATAGCAGAAAGATTATGAAACTTTAGAGATTTAGCGTGGCAGTGAGGAGACTTCTATCTGATTACTTGACCTTTTGCTGCCCTACTGTTCATATTTACAACCACTACTATACTGCATCAGTATTTCCAGTGCCCAAGGAAGCCTGTATACATTGCTCCAAGTTCTCAGAACTTGTTTTGATATCAGTAATCTGAAGCTTGGTGAAAGTTCCAGAGGAGCTAGAGTTTCTCTGTTTGCTTGCTTGCCCATTTATCAACTGTTTTAAGTATAGAGCAAGAAATAATAGATTTCTTTCCTATCTTTAGCTTTGCTTATTTGTCACATCTATTTCAGTGGGAAAACTTTTCAATTCTATTGATGTTATCATTTTCAATTTTAGAAAATTTTGTGATTCCCAAGGCAAACTACATATTCATGAAGGGTTTGTAATTATCATAACTGTGCCTATCTTAAACATTGTATAGCTGACAAATACTTTGTCTCATGAATGAAGTTTAATGTTTAAGGGACCTTTCTTTTTTTTTCTGTTAGTTGTGGGGCCTGAACTCTGGGCCTGGGCGCTGACCCTTATCTCTTCAGCTCAAGGCTACTGCCCTACCACTTGAGCCACAGCACCAGTTCCAGCTTTTTCTGCTTTTGTGGTGCTGAGGAATTGAACCCAGAGCTTCGTGCATTCAAGGCAAAGCACTCTACCACTGAGCCACCTTCCCAGCCCTTAAGGGACTTTTCAAGTTACAAAATATTGTGTGTCACAATAGTATTATGCATCCTGACTATTTTTGGATGAAAAGGTACATTTTATAGCATTCCAATCAGATGTAACTAATTTTTTCTTTTATTAGCAACAATGACTTTTCTTGTTGGTGGTAGTGGTCGTGGGGCCTGAACTCTGGGCCTGGGCGCTGTCCCTCAGCTCTTCAGCTCAAGGCTAGCTCTCTATGACTTGAGCCACAGCACCACTTCTCGCTTTTTTTTTTCTGTTTATGTGGTGCTGAGGAATCAAACCCAAGGCCTCATGCATGCAAGGCAGACCCTCTACCACTGAGCTGCCTTCCCAGCCCCAACAATGACATTTTTTTGTCTCTAGGTTTCAAGAGTTATTTTCTAAGCTCAACTTTATTACAGCTGTCCTAATCTTAACAGTATTAGTATACCAGAAAACTAACACTAGGCTTTCTCAAGCAAGGTCATAAGGAATTCTGGCTCCAGAACTAGAATTAGAGTTCTTATTTTCCATGTGAAGCTTAGAAAATCATAACATTTTACCTTTCCTTCATCCACTCTTCTCTTGGCTGCCTACATTATTCAGGTCTTAAACCTTATCTAGGGACAGCTCATCCTCATTATGTTGATAGTATTTTTCTGGTGCTTGAAAAAAAGAAAGTTGAAATACTCACTTTGGTTTTCTTTGGGTTTCTCAATTCAGAAAATTGGATTGATAACCCATAGTTCTTCCAGAATCATCCTGGCCTGCATGTTTCTTCAGAGAACAGTGCAAGGAAGAATGAGATTTCTATACTACGATTTTTTTTTTCTGCTTGATATTTATCCTTGCAGTATAGTAAGGTGTTTGAAAGGCCATAGTTTTCTTTTTATGTAAGTAGTAATGGTAATTAGAAAACAAGGGTCCCAAAACAATGTTTACCTATAAATAACCACTGAACATACCTGTCTGTACCATCAACTTTCCATAATTAGTTGGTCTTCCTAGGCCTATGTTATAGCTTGATGTGATCACATATAGCAATTATATATTTATACATTTCAAAAAATGGCTTAGTTTTCCCATTTGTGGGTTCCTTTCTCCATCTGTTCTGTGCCAATGTTTGTGGAATACCAGATAATTTATTTGGTTTTTGGAGGGTTTTGGTTGGTTGTGAGGCTTGAACTCAGGGCCTGGATGCTGTCCCTGAGCTCTTTTTCTCAAGGCTAGCACTCTACCACTTGAGCCACAGCACTACTTCTGATTATGGAGTGGTTAATTGGAGATAAGAATCTCATGGGGACTTTTCTGCCCAGGCTGGCTTTGATCCATGATCCTCAGATCTCAGCCTCCTGAGTAGCTAGGATTATAGGCATGATCCACCAACGCCCAGCTGGGATACCAGATAATTTATACCTTGGCTAGTTGTCAGGGAATTTCTTGGTTTGGAAAAATGTAGCATATATAGCAAGCTTAATAGCCAGTCAATAATATTTTTTGAGCACTTGTTAATACCAGTCTAGAATGAGTGTATTCAGATGACAGGAATTACACCCTAGACAAGGAAGCCAACTTTCAATCACTGAGCATCATCCCCCAGGACATGACTATATTGGTCAGCCAGCTAAGTAAAGCAGATTTGGGGTTATCAAAGTGGTTTTCCTTTTGGCTTTGCTTTTTCAGCATCTGTAATATCCTTGGACTTTCTGAAGGGTTTTTTTTTTTTTTTGGACGGTCATGGGGCTTGAACTCTGGACCTGGGCGCTGTCCCTCAGCTCTTCAGCTCAAGGCGAGCGCTCTGCCACTTGAGCTACAGCGCCACTTCTGGTTTTCTGGTGGTTTATTGGAGATAGGAGTCTCACAGTCTTTCCTGCCCAGGCTGGCTTTGAACCATGATCCTCAGATCTCAGCCTCCTGAGTAGGTAGGATTACAGGCGTGAGCCACCAGTGCCCGGCTACTCTGAAGGGTTTCTTGAAGGAGGATATTAGATTAACAGTCAGTTCATAAACTGGGTTATTGTTGTCGGTTTTGCCCAAGTGTTTTTGAAAACTAAAGTTTTGTCAATCTTGTTAAGTTTAAATGATCTTTCCTTCAATTTCAGTCCTACTTTAAATTTCAGCAAGTTAATTTTTACTATTTTTTCAATGAGACATGTGACTCTAAAATTCGCTGATTCAAATAAGACCACCTGTTGACTCGCTTTAACATCTTTTTGAGAAATTCCAAGTCCTTTGTTCTTCATGTCAATAAATTTTCAAAGCACTTAATTAGGAAAGGAAGGGAGGATTGTAAAAATACAAATGAACGGGAAAGCAAAGCAGATAGGCTTGCATTTATCTTTGTGGTCAAGAATAACTTGATCGGGGCGGGGAAGGTGGCTCAGTGGTAGAGCGCTTGCCTTGCATGCATGAGGCCCTGGGTTCGATTCCTCAGCACCACATAAGCAAAAAGAAAAAAGCCGGAAGTGGCGCTGTGGCTCTAATGGTAGAGCGCTAGCCTTGAGCTGAAGAGCTGAGGGACAGAGTCCAGGCCCAGAGTTCAGGCCCCACGACCGTACCCCCCCCAAAAAAAACAATAATAATAATAATAATAACTTGATCCTTGAATTAAAAGCATGGGCTGGGCCAGGCACAGTGGCTCAAACATATAATTCTATCTACTTGGGAGGTGAAGGTTGTGAGGATTGCAATTCAAGGCTAGCCCAGCCCCCCCCCCCCCCCAAAAAAAAAAAAAGTTCAAGAGACTCCATCTTTTGACTAATGGTTGGGCATAGTGGTATTATCCTGCTATCTAGCAATGCAGGGAACACAAATAGGAAAATCACAGACCAGTGCAGCTCAGGCATAAAGCAAGATGCTATCAAAAAAATAACTAACCCCAAAAGGGCTAGCCGAGTGGGTCAAGTGGCAGAGCAACTTCCTAGCAAGTGGTAGGTCCTGACTTCAAACCCTAGTAATGGCCCCCTCCAAAAAAAAAAAAAAGTATGGCCTGGCTTTGAGACTTTTAATTGAGTATCATTTTTCCAGAACCAAGTATTCTGCAAATCAAAGACCTTACAGTTATTTTAAGGAAATTTCTGTACCCAACCAGCCCTCAGTCGACCAACTATAGAACATTAAAGGACAAGTGTATGTAAGAGAAGAGAAGCACTAATATATCAGACATCTCCTTTACTGACCATAGAGGCACAGTCATAGTTTGATATTTCATTCGGAATTTACAAATAGCCTTGTGAGACTAAAGGCATTAGAATGCATCTGTGATATCTAGAGTATACTAGAAAGAATATTGGTCCTAGGAGGAGAAGGTTTGACTGGATCCTGGCTTCTTGTTACTAGCTATAAAATTTGGATATCATCATATTTCTTTTGATCCATTATTTTCTTATCCATAAACCATGAAGGTGTACTATTGCCACCAAAAATTTTGGGCATTTCTATGTTAAAGCATCAGTCACACTGTATAATACTGTGACCACACCTTCCATTCTAGACTAAGAGATTCAGAGTCTTTTGGGTATACTGCTGCCCGGTACAGAGCTGGCACTCAGTAGAGGATAAATAATACTTATATAATTACATTGCAAACTAAAGACACTATATAAATATGAAGAATTCCTATTGTCATTATATATGTTGTATTTGAAGACTGTGTAGAAATTACATTTGCCAACTTTAAAGATAGAAAAATCAAAAGAACTAGGGAAACTCTTTTGAAAGTTAACATATTAAATTTTAAGTGAGTTAGTTTCCATGTTGAAAGAACATGAATTAGTAATCCTAAATTGTTTGTTCGCTGTACTTCCTCCCATTTATATAATAAAAATGCCTCTACTTGGCTTGTCTCTCCTAAAAAGACCAAATCAGATAATGATTATGGTCCCCTTTTGGCTTATAAACTTCTCAGTATCCAGAGTGTTCTCAGAGCTTGTCAGTTGTGTTATATTTATTAGTTAATAATTGTAACCCAGATTATTTATGTGTTTGTCCTCTTTCCTTTTCTACTTCTACCTTCTACTTCATGCATACAGACTTCAGGAAAGTGAGAGACCTACCACCTCCACCTCTTGGGAGGTTTGACCACGTTAGTATGGCACACATTCCAGCAATTTTCTTTACAGCCTAACTGAAAATGTATAAGGATGTTTGTTACATATTACATTAGTTTAGACTGAGAGTGAAATATTCTTGCTGTCAGAGATGGATGAAAAACCATATATAAATCAAAAGCTGTACTAAAAGCACTTAGGGAAGTATTATTTATAATGAAATCCACTGGCAAGTATTTTTAAACAATGAATAAAAGTAACATTTCTTTTATTATTTTAAAATTTTTATATAACAGGCTTGCTCAACGACCCTCAGTTTCTGAGCTTGTTTGGGTCTTGTTTGTTTTCTTTGTTAGATTGAAGAGGAAGGTAAAGTGATTTAAAAAAAAAAAAAAAAAAACATGATTGGGAGGTACCGAAAGGCCAGATTCATTCAGATAATACTTGTTGAGCATCTAAAATGTACCAGATGTATTATAAGAGCAGACCATACAAAGCTGAGCAAAACCAAGTCTTGGGAGCTTATGTTTTAGTAAATTTTTTATATTGATCTTTTAAGTCAGTTTTTGGTTTTAGAGAAAGTACATAATAACTAGTTAGGTACTCTTAAGAGTTGGGAAAGAATATGATGTGGATGTTTTTGTTTTCTTTCCTGGAGAACCATCCATTATCAATATCTTATGTCTATTAAAAAGGAAAATGCTTTTTAAAGAAGGAGAGATTAAACTCAGATCCTTGCTCATGTTAAGGTAGGATTCTACCTCTAAAGCCACTCTACAACCTAAGTCACCTGACTTTTACGGTTCATTGCCAGTAGTGAATTAGTTTCAGTGAAAAAGATGGTTTAGTGTTGAAGATGTATATTTACATAAATAAAAGACTAGCATAGGTAGTAAATGTGGGTTATATCGTTATCAATGTAGAACTGACTTTTGTTAAGCCATCTTATTTCCTAGCCCATATTCACTTTTTCATTTTGGGACTATTAGGGAAATTTACATCTATTTGTAATTGTTCTTATTTTTGCTTTTAGTGGAATCTAATCAGAAAAGCTCATTCCAGGAAATTCCCAAACTTAATGAAGACCTCCTAGGCAAACAGAAACAACTTGAGAAGATTGAATCTGGGGAGCTGGGCTTGAACAGAGTCTGGATCAACATCACAGAAATGAATAAGCAGGTAGCAAACCTATTATTTTATTTCTGTTGAAGCTATAAATAATTTCAATTGGTTGGTTATAAGTATAGGGAATTCACTTCAGGTGGTTTGACTTTTTTTTTTTTTTTTGTGGTCAGTCGTGGGGCTTGGGCACTGTCCCTGTGCTCTTCAGCTCAAGGCAAGCACTCTACCACAGCACCACTTCCAGTTTTCTAGTGGTTTAAAGTGTACTTACTAGTGGGAGCTCCTATGTATCACAGACCCTATATAATTCTAGCTACTCAAGAAGCTGAGATCTGAGAATCAAAGTTGGATGCTAACCCAGACAGACAGATCCCAGAGACATATCTCCAGTTAATCAGCAAAAAGTCTGAAATGAAGGCATGGCTTGTGAGTTTACCAGTTAGAAGTCAAAAAGCTGGGCAAGAGTTCAAAGCCCTGAGTTCAAGCCTCAGTAGTGACACAAAATGTACTTACCAAATACTTTAAATGCTAAACCTTTCTGCAAATGAACAATATTTTCATCAAGTTAGAAGCTGGAAATTCTTTAGTCAGTTTCTCCAACCCCCAGAAAAAGATACCCTATTATTACTAGATAATGAAGTTTATTTTGTTAAAAAAAAAAAAAAGTTACAAACTGCTGAGTGCCAGTGGCTTACTCCTGCAACCCTAACTACTTAGGAGAGTGAGATCTGAGGATCATAGTTCAAACAAGCCCAGGCAAGAAAGTCCATGAGAATTTGTTGTTATTGTTTTGTTGGTCATAGGACTTGAAGTCAGGATCTAGATGCTATCCCTGAGCTCTTTCACTCACTTCCAGTTTTCTGGTAGTTAGTTAGATGTAAGAGTCTCATAGACCTTACTGCTCCAGCTGACTTTGAACCATGATCCTCAGATCTCAGCCTCTTGAGTAGCTTGGATTACAGACGTGAAACACCAGCAACTGGCCCTGTGAGACTCTTATCTCCAGTTAATCACCAGAAAACTAGAATTGGAGCTGTGGCTCAAAGTGGTAGAGCACTAGCCTTGAGCAAGAGCTTAGGGACAACGCCCAGTTCAAGCTCTGTGACTGACAAAAAAAAAAAAAAATCTACAAACTTACAAATTCAGTCTTGGGATGTAATTCTATATACTCTGCTAAAAACAAATCTTCAAACTATCGATGAATATAGTAGTCATTTTGGAATAGCTTAGTACCAAATGGAAGAGTTAGTTAAGTACCTTGACCAGGCAAGAAAACATGGAGCATAAACTCTTTTCCAGTCCCTAAGTTGTCCTGAGCTCTGTAGACTTTGCTTCTAAAGGAAAGAATCCACTGGAAAAAATAAATTATTCTAAGGGTGTTGATGTAGCATCTTACATATAAAAGGGGATATAGTTGCCCTGGTTATAGCTATACCCCCAGTTCTCAATTTTTTTAATAGTGGTCTAGAGGAGGGTAGTTTAGTACATAAAACCAAAGTCCACCAGGGCATGGATGGTTCATGCTTGTAATCCTAGTTGCTCAGGAGGCTGGGATCTGAGGATCATGGTTTGAAGCCAGCCCAGACACAAAAATTTGTGAGATTCTTTTCTCTCCAATTAACCAGCAAAAAGCCAGAAACAGGGTGTGGTTCAAGTGGTAGAGTACCAGCCTTGAGTGAAAAAGCTGAAGCCCTGAGTTCAAGTCCTAGTAGAGGCAGGCCGGCACGCATGTGCGCACACACGCGTACACACACACCCACATTAACAGGCAAGCAGGCGCACGCACGCACACACACACACACACACACACATTAATGGCCCAGGGAAGTGGCTTTCAAACTTTTGCCAGAAACAGTAAGGATTATACATCATTATGCAATAAATATGTATACTGTGGTTTGAATGTGTTCTCCAGTTCATGTTTTGGAAATTTAGTTCCAGATTCATATTTGGAGATGGAACCTTTGGGAAATAATTAGCATCAAATGAGGTCCTGTAGGTAGAGCCCTCTTGATGGTAGAAAGAGGAAGAGAAACTGAAGCCTGCACATTTGTTCTGTCTTATCATATGTATGTGTTGCCCTCTGATATGATAAAGCAGAAAGGTTCTCACCTGCTGGTGGCAGGCAGGCTCTTGGGCTTCCCTGCCTACAGAACCTTGAACATTGCTTATGATGCCTTAGGATATTTTCTTTTCTACGCATTTCTATTTTTTAATCATGCATGAAATAGCTGATAGATTTTAGTACCTAGTATTTACTAGTTGCCATTTATCTTTACACTCTGAACAACTAGAGAAAAACAGATATTCATTCCTTTTGTGCAAAAAATAATATCAATTGTACCCTTTCTTACATTCACACAGCAAATGAGTAATTTGGCCAGCGATTGCAGCAGGGGAAAATAGGTCACACTGAAGTGCTGAAAGATAAGTTACATCTTTCCTGGAGCCATCTACTGGTTTCCAGTTGTCAAAGATAATATTGTTCCATATGAAGAGGCAAAATCAACTATTTCCCTTTAAAAAAAAAAAAATAACATAGATCCAGGCTCCGGTGGCTCATGCCTGTAATCCTAGCTACTCAAGAGGCTGAGATCTGAGGATCGTGGTTCAAAGCCAGCCCCGGTAAGAAAGTCTGTGACACTCTTATCTCCAAAAACCACTCAAAACTGGAAGTGGCGCTGTGGCTCAAGTAGTAGAGTGCTCACCTTGAGCTGAGGAGCTGAGGGACAGTGAAGAACAGAGCCAAAGAAGAAAGGGTACTTGAAGACATATACATTTTCACATCTATGGTTTTGGTTCCTGAGTTCTCTAACTAGGAATCTAGACACCAAAGAATAATTTTGTTCTCTGTTTGGCCATTGTTTTTAATACAAGGTGTACTTTAGGAAGCATATACATAGAGAAGTTTACTTTAGTCCTAGGGCTTTATATATAAGGATATACATAGGATGGTTGCATTGAATCTCTTTCCATTTTAGCTTTACTATACCTTCAGAGATTGTAGGAGTGACTTAGGAAGATAACCTAATACAGAGGAATTCTTGCTGGTCTGGGCCCAGAGATAGGCAGTGGTGAGGCAGAGCTCTCTATGTGGTTTCCAAAGGGAACTCAGCACTCTGAGTGGTTTTCTAAAATTAATGCTACACAACTCTATTCAAGTAAAAAGTATTTGTTCTGAACTAAAATAGCTATAAAAGTAAAATTAATATTTAACTATGTTTCTGTATTTATAAGTAACTGTCAAGATGCTTTTAGTGGCAATTTCAAAACAATTCAGGATGGTTTAATACAAGAAAATGTATTACATCACTTAATACAAACTTGTCCTTATCACAAAGTGGGCTGAAGTTAATGTAGTCTGGGGGGAAAAAAAGCCATCAGTTTGAGAAAATTAAAATCAAATTTTGCTTTGAAAGATCTTTAGTAGTTAAAACCTCATTTGTATTTCTTATTTTATGCATGAAGTCTCTGATATTATACCCATTCCCTCTTGACCATTTAAGAAGTATCTCCCTTTCTTTGAAGGTCATTAATTCAACAAATATTTGCTGAGCTGCTTTGGATTATGTCTTAGTCTATCAGGCTGTTATATATACTAGGTAACATAAACAACAGAAATTGGATTGCTCACAATTGTGCAGGCTAGATTCCAAGATCAAGGTGTCAGTGGATCTGGTAGTTGACAAAGGCTTATTCTCTGCTTTGTACATTGTGCTTTCTTACTATATCCTCATATGGCAGAAAAGGAAAAAGAGTTTTCTTGGACTTCTTTTATAAATCTCCCATTCATGACAATAGAGTCCTCCTATATCATATCTGAAAGACTGCCTCTTTTTTTTTTTTTTGGTCTGTCGTGAGGCTTGAACTCTGGGCCTGTGCTCTGTCCCTCAGTTCCTCAGCTCAAGGTGAGCACTCTACCAATTGAGCCACAGTGCCACTTCCGGTTTTCTGTGGTTTATTGGAAATAAGAGTCTCACAGAACCCATTGCAGCAATGAGATGTACAAGGCGTTATGTCGAAAAATGAACTTTACAACTTTGGCCAGGGGGTTGGGGGTGGGGGGGAATGTGAGGGGGGGAAAGATGGGAAGGGATAGGAAGGGGAAACAAAGGAGGAGGCAACAATGCTTGATAAGAAATGTACTCATTATGTTGCCCATGTAATTGTAACCCCTCTGTACAGTATTTTCACAATTAAACAAAAAGAAAAAGAAAGAGTTTCACAGACTTTCCTGTCCAGGCTGGCTTTGAACTGTGATCCTCAGATATCAGCCTTTTGAGTAGCTAGGATTACAGGCATGAGCCACAGCACCTGGCTTACCTCTTCTTTTTGTGTATGTGTTGCTGAAGTTTGAACTCAAGGTATGCCACTTGCTAGACTGTTACTGTATCATTTGAACCACAATCCCAGCTCTTTTTGCTTTTGTTAATTTTTTTTTTTTGGGGGGGGGGTGTCCGGTCATGGGCCTGAACTCTGGGCCTGGGCGCTGTCCCTCAGCTCGTCAGCTCAAGGCTAGCGCTTTTTTTTTCTGCTTATGTGGTGCTGAGGAATCCAACCCAGGGCCTCAAGCATGCAAGGCAAGCGCTCTACCACTGAGCCACCTTCCCAGCCCATGCTTTTGTTAATTTTTGGATAGGGTTTTACTTTTTGCCCCAGCCAGCCTGGGCCTTGTTCCTAATATATAGGCTTTCCACATAACTGGGATGATAGACACTCTTCACTGTACCAAGCTTTATATTGGTTGAGATAAGATCTCAGGAACTTTTTGCCCAGGCTATCCTTAAATGATAATCCTCCCATCCTTAGCCTCATAAGTAGCTATGATTACCATATCCAGCTAAATTTATATTTCTTTTGGCTGTACTCATATTTGAATTTACGGCCTCTTGAAGACTCTACCTCATAATGCCATAACATTGGGGCTTATGTTTCAGCATATACATTTTAGGGAGACACAAACATTCAGACCATAGTAAATTTAAAAACATTATTCCTCTCCTCAAGAATTTTTCAGACAACACGCGCTGGTGGCTCACGCCTGTAATCCTAGCTAC